ACTGTTTTTATTCAATATACATTCATTGTGACATCCTCAAAATTAACCTCAATTCTCTCGATGACTCTTAGGTTCTTTGAAATATAAGTATGATGAAATTGTCACATGTATTATAAAACACTTTTAGAATCGTGAAGCGATGTTTTGATCTTATGTACCTCTTTCTGTTCCTCTGGTATTTCTGTTAGACTTTTATTTGCCTCTATAGTGCTTTCTTTTCTAAGGTTGTTTATTTGAGTCAGATGTGGCCTAGTAGTTAGTACACCGAGCTGCGGGTCGAAAGGTCCAAAGTTCGATCCCGCGATAAGCGCTGTTATTTCATTTTTGGCGCATTATAAAAGTGTAAGTCAATCCTGCTATTTCAGTAAGCGTATCCATGTTGTCAGCAGATGCAGCCAACTGGTTGCTTTCCATCTGTTCAGCTGTTTTATATGAAAGACGGCTATGCTTGGATATAGAAGTCTCTGACCTGACAGTTTAGCCTATTTCAGTAAGCGTATCCATGTTGTCAGCAGATGCAGCCAACTGGTTGCTTTCCTTCTGTTCAGCTGTTTTATATGAAAGATGGCTATGCTTGGATATAGAAGTCTCTGACCTGACAGTTTAGCCCATATATTGCTTAAGGCGCCATTCAGATTGAAAATACCAAATATTATTGTATATTAATTTCACTTAAGTGCCCTAAAGTGATGTCTGTTCGTAGCATAGTTGATGTACGAAAGCCGTTTTTGTATATTGCTATTTCCATATTATCATAACAGTATGAAAGTTAAATTCATTGTTTCATATTTTATTTTCCTTAGCCGACTCATTCTTCTGCTCTCGTAGTTACTACTTAAATGATCAGAATTTTTATTAGTTCAAGTTTAAACATATTAAAAAGACAGTTGTCTGCTGAATGACTTAGAAGAATAAATTAGTAGCATCAACATTATTCAAATCCTATAAAATATATAGGTTCACTGTGGTGAATAAAACACAACTAAAACATCATACAGAAAATCGGGTGTAATAGTTGCAGTAAAACGTTGTCTCAGTTCATATAAACGCGAAGTTAGTTCTTACAATAGTAATTACGTACATAACCTGACCTTATCTTACTGTTTATCGTGCTATTAAGCCTAACTTTGTCGTTGTTGTTAAAACATGCGATAAACTCATTAACATAACAAATACTTATTCTAACGTATAGAAAACATTTTATGTTGTTGTTTTTGTTCTTCTATAACAAATAAACTTATAGACCGGAGAATGCTGATATCACCGTAGAAACAGGAATTTATTTGTAAAGATAACTAACAACTAAAATTTTTTATTTCCTTAATTTTTATTTTAGTTATATTTGTGCTGCGTATTGCTAAGCGTTATATTGTAGCTTCAGTTGATCTGTATTGCTGAGCGTTACGTGGCTTCAGTTTTTGTGTATTGTCGAATGTTAGGTGGCTTCAATTGCAGTGTATTGCTGAGCATTATGTAGCTTAAGTTGCTCTGTATTGCTAAGCGTTATATTGTAGTTTCAGTTGTTGTGTATTACTGAGCGTTATGTAGCTTCAGATGCTATGTATTACGAGAATTATGTTGTAGCTTCAGCTGCTGTGTATTGCTGAGCGTTATATTGTGGCTTCAGCTGCTGTGTATTGCTGAGTGTTATATTGTGGCTTCAGCTGCTGTGTATTGCTGAGCGCTATGTTGCTTCAATTGCTGAGTATTGATAGAAGCTATTTAGCTTCAGTTGCTGCGTATTACTGAGCGTTACATGGCTTCATTTGCCGTGTTTTACTAAGCGTTATTTAGTTTCAGTTGGTGTGTATTGCTAAGTGTTATTTAGCTTCAGTTGGTGTGTCCATGGAAAGCACCAATATTTTTGAATCCTGTTTAATTTAAAAAATAATACCAGGAACCATATAGTGAAACTAGTGATTAAAGCTGTCAACTCTGCATGCTGATATTCAGAAGAAGAGCAACTAGTCGCTGGACAAGACAAGACTATCGCTTAAAAGTAAGCGGTAATAAACTTGACGATGTGTGACAAGCATTCCTCGAGTAAACACAAAAGTGCCGATCCTAAACGGCCTGTGGCAGGCAACGTCGATTAGAACGCACCGACTAGCCTTAAAAAGCACACAAAGTAATATCCGGGTCAATGAAAGAAAGACATCAAAGTTTCACTTAATGGCCCATAATTGGTCAGTGATCTGGTTCCCAATGTTTTCAACTCAATACTGTTTGTGTAGCGCACAGTTTGTTTTGGGTGTGTACAGGTGTGTCATGGCAGAGCTGTATAAGTAAAAAACACGAATATACATCTTAGTCCACACTCAATGTACCACGTCATTAAATGTATTTTAATACACTGCAGAGTTTCTAATATGAAGCAAAAAGGTAAATATAATAATATAATGATAAGGGACATTTTTTAATAATGTTTCTTAAGTAAATAAATTGTCCGGGACAATAAACTAAATCACAGGATGGTTCAATATTTTATGGATGTGTTGGAAACTTTTTTGTAGTATGACATCTCTGCATGGTTCTTCTACGAGATTATTCAACAAAAAAAACATGTATGTGCAATTCAAGTAGCAATTCAAATCTCATCTTTGAAAGAATACTTCAACTCACGTTGTCAGATCAAACTGTAATGTTTCAAAGAACTCGAATTCTTATTTCACTGATAACGTTTCTAATGCCATTTGTTGTTATTTTTATTTAAGATTTCTTAATTCGACCTTTTCAAAAATGGTTTTGTATCTATTATGAAAACAAAATGAAATTATATAAACCAAATGAATGTTTTTTTGCGGAATGTGCGAGCGATCTGTGATGGACAATTTGAAGTAAATTATTTTACAGGATAAATAAATGTCAACGGACATTTCTAATAAATATTTTTTTGCATTCTAATTTTAATTATGATGTATAATTGTCTGTTGAAATGTAATTTATCTTATATTAAAGACTAGATGTACGCATAAAATATACTTCACAGGATGATATAACTATTCCACTCAATAAATAAATGCCCCCCCCAGTGTCACAGCGGTATGTCTGCGGATTTACAACGCTACAATCCGGGTTTCAATACCCGCGGTGGGCAGAGCACAGATAGTCCATTGTGTAGCTTTGTGATTAATTACAAACAGTAAATAAATAAATAGGCAGATAGGCAAAGATGGATAGACAAATAGATAGAGAGATAGAGAAAAACGGTGTACTATAATATATGACGTTTAGCTGAAATCCTAAACTGGGTAGTCCTAGTACTGAGCGAAAGACCTCGTCGGCTCTAGATATAATAGATATAATGTGGTTGGTATATTATTATTTTTTACTTTTGGTAAGTTCTTATAAATTAATAATAAATTTATATAAAATAGTTGACATTTTCTAAAGTTAGATTTTATTGAACTCTAACACCATAAAAGGCCTCTTTTAAATGAAATAATAAATAAACACATTATTAACTGCATGATTAAAAAAATACTAAATTTTCCTTTTTACAGCGCAGACTGTTCAAGAAGTACCTCAATAACAACAGGTCGGGTCAGATTTAAAGTATTGATTTTATTTCTAATCAAAATTTAATGATTCGAAGAATTTAAAAAATCTCAACTGATTAAAAAACACACTGACCTGATTCTAATGTTCTATATATGTTGAGAAGGTAAGAATAACTACTACTATTATTATTATCTATCCCAAAGAATGCAAGCAGTTAATCAACTTACAACAATGTTCGTTCAAGGCTTATCATTTTATTATACATGGGCAAGCTCATTTTTCTATATCCTGGCTTTGATATCATATCTCCGTTTTGATGACTTGCCAATAAGCTAATAAATATTCTCAACAACAAGACGTAGGGGGGGGGGGGCAATTAGGCAGGAAGGCAACTAAAGATGAGCGCGAAATTGACAATAAACCCCAAAGTGCCCACTCTAAGGTTCGCTCTAGATTAGTTTCATCAGCTTGGTTACTAAGAGCGAAAATACATGTATGCACGAGACCGCGAGAATAAGCTACCTTTGGTTGCTAATGCTAGCAATAAGCACACACACACATATGTTTCACGAGCCAACGAAGAGTCGTGAAATGAAAGTTTCCAATGTTGGAGTAAGACTGTACAAGTGACACACACACACACAGTGCATTATTAAATGTAATTTACTGCCAGTAACATAAGTAAAAACTGACAGTCGTTATAAAAAATCAGCTATGACTCGTTATAACAGCAGGCAGTTGTCGGAACGACGTCGTGGACAATACATTTGTATAAATGCAGCAACCACAAATATATATGAGTGTTACGTCACTTCGAATGGAAGTATGGGTCTGTTCGCAGAGTTTATATGTATGAGTAACACTTCAGTTTATATTATATATATATATTGTGTTCTTAGTTGTCTTTTACTCACCACAGTGAACCTATGTTCATATAGGATTTGCATAATGTTCTTTACTTAATACTTCGAGCTGTATTTAATTCCATTTGAGTGTATGATTATATAATCTATAATTCACTGTTTACTTCCCTCAAAATACGGTAACAGTGATTTTGTAGTATAGTTTCAGTTTTGTTAGATGCTTGTTTGTTTGTTTTGAACTTCGCGCAAAGCTGCACGAGGGCTATCTGCGCTAGCCGTCCCTAATTTAGCAGTGTAAGACTAGAGGGAAGGCAGCTAGTCATCCCCACCCACCGCCAACTCTTGGGCTACTCTTTTACCAACGAATAGTTGGATTGACCGTCACTTTATAACGCCCCCACGGCTTAAAGGGCAAGCATGTTTGGTGTGACAGGGATTCGAACCCGCAGATTGCAAATCGAGCGCCCTAAAATACTATAACACTATCTTTGTATGTATATAAATTTATTTATTTTTTGTTATACATTGAAACAATTATACACTGGGAAACAAAAAACTTTTTCTCTGTATCTTTTATGAAAATGGCTGTTTTTGAGTAATTTTGGGGCATAGCTTACGAAAATCATAATATATTTTTCATATCTGGTTTGGTTTTTGATATGTTGTACCCCTGCCTTAAGACTCATATATGACATAACTTGCCATCATTGATAGGTTTGTTACCTGAGAAAAAAAAACAACATTAAGAATTAAGGTTTAGATTATTCTGTGAATAAGACTATTACAAAGCAGGATTTCAAAACTGTTAAAAGTGACTTTTTGTGATTTCCGCTTGAATATTGAGTTACCTTCACGCTTGAGCATCCAGCAGTAATACCCCATCATAGCTGGGTCTCCCTGGTAGTTCTTCTCCATTCTCGTAATATCTGGGTTAAAACGTTCACCATGCTCATCTGAGACGTAACCAAGATTTTCAGGGGAAAACTCTAAATGAGTGTGGAAAAAATGTATTTTTAATGACATCCGTGTACCACTCTTTTAATCTGGATGCCAGCAGTTTAGACTGTGACTTGGATAGATACAAATCTCTTGCAAAGTCATTCACATCATCTTGGTTGATGAAATAAGGCTCATTGGATTTAAAGGAGAGAATTCATCATCTGTGTCATTCCCATGTGCTGATGATTCATCAGAAGACGAGGATATTATTTTTTTTTTGTCAGTTGGTGGTGTGGGAACTGGAAGTTCTTCACTGTGAGGAACTGGCTTCATAGCTGAATCCACATTTGGATATTGAGCTTTGTGTCTATTCTTTGCTTTGATTCCGGTTATAATTGAATGACAGAAATAACAGTCATTTACATGGTTCTTGAGTTCACGCCAAATCATAGGTACTGCAAATGGCATACTCTTACTTTTACCATTCAACCATTCCCTCAGACTTACTGCACAAGGATTGCAGCAAATGTGTGGTGGCCAATTCTTATTTGGATTCCCAAGATGACAACCAAAGTAGTAGAAGTAAACAGGTGTAATATTTCTGCGTTGCGAGCTTTGTGTAAAAATACCACAACCATAACATAATGAATAGGGTCGATTTAAGCAACCTCTTAAATAATTCATATCAATCTTATCAGATCTAAAAAAAAGATAAATAAAATTAGCATATGGTATTATAAGATATATTTATGAATACGACAAATTATAATATTGTATAATATCATATCATGCCATGAAGCACCGACTTATACCCATTATTCATGCCCCATATTTCCTCATTACCCACTTTATATTGAAAATCTAAACCTTATGTGCAAAACTGAAGTTTAATTCTATAAATAGGACTATCAATTCAGTAAAAAACAGTGATTTTAGAGAAAATATTAATAACGCATGATTATCTCTACCCCTGATCTACCCCTACCCCCACATGTACCACCGTCCCCTATAATGAAAAAACTGAACCCATTGTGTGAAAAATAAGTTCATTTTCGTAATCAGCACCTTCAAATTAGTAAAGAATGATATTTGTTTAATAAGATACAAAAATGTTGTTGACCAGTGTTATTATATTTTGTTATTACCTACTTTTGATATTCTGTTATATCTATATATATTTGAAACATTCAGGTTTATCTATCCACTTGTGTTTGTTTAGTCTTGTGATAAATGGCGCCGTAAGTCTTCTCTAGTCAACACTTGTATTTCATATTGACCGACAAAGCACTGAATGTCAGTTGTTATCTGTACCATTCATCATAGTCTGACGGTAGGTTGTAATACTGAAAATCTAATAAACTCTTTTATGACGTTAAAGCACCGGCATGTATTACCTTATCTGTAGAAACAAATGTAAACAATATAAACAGCAAGTGGGTATATCGCAGACCAAACGTTGAAACTCGTACGCTTCTAGATACACACGTATAAACACGAGAGTAAGAAGAATTGGGTTTGTTAGCGTGATCTCAAATGTATTTACTGTGGTGTATGTGTTCATTCCCTGGATAAAAATACAGCTGTGCATATCTTAATATCGTTTCATTAATACCTGAGTAAAACTTTTATCATGAAACAGTCGATGTTAAACCTGTTAAGAGACTATTTATTTATCATAAGTGTACATACATTCGCAACTGTACCCCCCAAGTGTGCTTATAAAAGATTGTTTGTTTCGGAATATTTGTGCAAAGCTACACGAAGGACAATCTTTGTCCCTAATTTTGAACTGATAGAGAAAAAGAAAGGCAATTAGTCAACAGCACCCACTGACAGTTTTTGGCTACTCTTGTCTGACTCTTACAGTGTACCCACGGTCCCAAATTGCGGAGCACTTTTTTATTTTTTGAATAGGGTCACGAACTGTGAACTCTCAGATTCATAGTCTGAAAACACTAGCCAATAACTCACACTCTAGCCTTAGAATGAAAGAACAAATGTATAGCCATGTTAGTGTATCAAAAAAATATTGTTTGTATTTAGATTTCATGACTAAGTATAATAATTACTGTCTATACATTTATGTTTCAGACGTACACATTTGATCAAGTATTAGAAAACAGAAAACTCCGCCAAAATGTTAGTTAATACAACTGAACTCTAACTCTCTAGTGACTGGTTTTTTGTTGTTGTTGTTGTTGTTAACGTCACTGCGATATTTACGTAATTAATGTGTTGGAAAAAAGCAACAATAGGAAAATGTTAGTTTTAGTAATCAATTGTAAAATATACTCTTAAGTAAGCCTATCTGAAGAGGTGACACAGATGCTTGTGTACAAATTGGTATGTGGTGGTGAGTTTCTCTTCTTTGCGGATTTGTATAGTGAGCCCCTCCAGCCCCAGTAACCAGTTTGAACACAAAAGATTTAGACATCAGCCAGTTTGGTAAATAAAGGTTTACAGTCATTGTAAATAAAAATCTGTTTTACTTACTCATCTGCGTTTGTTTTTCCTCCAAATTCGAAATTATTCTGTGCGGTACAATTCCGGAATCTGCGTTCTTACGGATATTTTAAACTTATCCTTTTGATATTGATGAAACCGAATACCAGTGAATAGCTGTGGTTGCTAGAAACAAAAGTTATGGCTGTTAACTTGTGCTATTATGGATACTAGATGCTACAATTAGTAATACTCACAACAAACGTTATTTCTTTTAACTATCTCTAGTTATGTAGTTATGGCCGCTAGTTACTAAAACTTGGTTTGGTTTGAATTTCACGCAAAGCTACACGAGGACTAACTGCGCTAGCCGTCCCTAATTTAGCAGTGAAATACTAGAGGGAGGTCAGCTAGTCATCACCACCCACCGCCAACTTTTGGGCTACTCTTTTACCTACGAATAGTGGGATAGACCGTCACATTATAACACCCCCACGGCTGAAAGGGCGAGCATGTTTGGTGGGACAGGGATTCGAACTAAAACTAAGACTAATGCTTCTAGTGTGAATGGCTCTGGTAATTACTGCAATTAATAGGAACTGCAATTATGATTAGGACTGTGTTGTGATGGCTGTTCAGCTTTGGCTCATCCACCACTTTCCAAAGTTAACAATCATTGATATTTGATATATGCATTATTCTTTGTAACTGTGAATTACCTAAATATTTCAAAATATATGTTTGATATTTTTTTTCATAGTAAGGAGACACTTTGGACTGGGAAATGAAGAAAAAGCTAAATATATTTTTGGAATTTTTTTACCATCACGTAGGCGAAGATTAAGTAGTGGTTTTTGAGCACTACATCCACTGAAGCTATTTCATACTAATGTATGTCTTATTGCTCTGGAGGTAAATTTCACACCTATACTTACAGCCAGTTCATTAGCAAGATCTTTACTAGGTTCTCATGTATCATGTAATAAGTATTTAACCCAAATTCTTCGATATTACCAACACTACTAGTTTCACATACCCTTCTCAGAACTTGCGTTCAACTTCTACTGAATCAAGAAATATCGTTTAAATTTGTTGCATTAGTAGCCTTCACCAACCAAAGCTTTAATTTTTACAAATTTATCATGCGGCATTTCTGTCCTCAATATGAACCAATTACAAGAGCTATAGCGCTCAAACTCAGTTAACTCTATTGTGACCTATAGTTTCATGATAGTCGTCTGTACGAAGCCAGAGTACTGTTTCTATCCCACCACAATGACTGTAGATTCAATATGTCTAGACTCGTTGGTGCAGGTAGTTTTCGCTCCATGCAATAATCAAAACCAAAAATTTCGTGACAGGAATTTAGTTTTTAAAGGAAAGAAACTGGGTTGTTCAGGGATATTTATATCCCCCTTCGCCCCGCTCGTGAAGTATTTTTATAAATGTGACGGCCAATCCCACTATTCGTTGGTAAAAGAGTAGCCCAAGAGTTGGCGGTGGGTGGTGATTACTAGCTGCCTTCCCTCTAGTTTTACACTGCTAAATTAGGAACGGCTAGCGCGGATAGCCCTCGTGTAGCTTGAAAACAAACCACTTTTATACCATATTTTCTAAGAAGGCTATCATGTTTAAGTCGAAAACATACGTTTTGTTATATTTAGTTTAACTGTTGTACGCGTTAAATGTAACAAAGAGCATATGAAGGTACAAGTACTGGACAAACTTCAGGTGCGCCATAATATTTCTGACTTGTGTTGCTTGTAACCTTCCTGAAATAAGTTTGAACATTATTATTAGTAATGTTCAGGTAGCTTTATAAAAAAGAATTAATTGGTTTTACAATATAGAATAATTCAATTTTACTTTATGTAAACTTTCAGAATAAACTTTCTTTTAACACCAAGTTTGCCCCATTCTTTATTTTTAAACTTCGAAAATGTCACTAAGAGTTAAAAACATTTTGGTCTAGAAAAGTGAAATAACAAGTTTGTAATTTATCCAATAATTCAAATATTGTTTAAAGCTAAGCACAAAGCTTCACAATGGTCTATCTGTGCTCTGCCCAACACGGATATCGAAACTCGGTACCGTACCGCTGTTTCCACTGGGGGGGGGGGCAATAATTCAAGAAAACTGAGAAGGAAACTATTAACATTTTACTAACTGCCTCCACAACATTTACAAGTGCTCCTATAAGCACTTCGCGAGTTATGATAATTAATTATGTATTCATTAGAAATGTGAATCTCAATAGAAAATTTTCCCACGCTAAAATTTGAGGTTCAGTTCCTTTCGGTGGAAAGAGCGCAAATAACCCATTGTGTATGTAGCTTTGCGCTAAAATGAACAAACTAATGGAAAAATAGTAATAGTAAAATAACCCATACCTAGGAATAACGTCATGAATTTGTCAACAACACAAGCAAGCATAGCAGGATTACCAAAGTAAATAAAATTATCGGCTAAATAAGGATGATGAGAAATATCAAAAAACTGACGAAATGGCAGAGTCTATGCTTCTAAGCAATCATCATTAATGCTGAAAAGTAAGTGTCTTCATGAGGGTGGTATACTTTCTTATTCTACCGCTTGGGCCATAAAACCATTACCTATGACAAGGGGACATTGTGGTTACACTTGTTTATGATGATCGGCTAATGTCTGTTGTATAAAAGTGTCAATTTCTGATTACTCTTGTATTAATTTCATAACCCAGATTTCTGCGTAACAAGTGGAGCTGACTTATCATACGTTTGCTATATAAATAAATAAGATAACAAATAAAAAGGCACGAGATCAAGATCAAATTTTATTTCAATAGTGGGAGCACTTTCGTAAATTTAAAATCTCTTTGCTGAAGAAAATAAAATATCCAATTGGAAACGAATATTGTAATATTAAACGTTAATATAAATAATTGCTCCTCGTTGGCTCAGAGGAAAGTAAGAAGGTTTATAATGCTAAAAATTTGGTTTCGATACCTGAGGTGGGCGGAGCATAGATATCCCATTGTGTAGCTTTGTACTCAAATACAAACATTAAAAAGTAATAATAGCTTCTAAAACCCTACTTTTAAATTATACTGTCTTATAAATTCGATGATTTAAACTTTTCAATGAAATACTCTTCATATGTTAGCCTTTTATCATTATTTTTATATTTCCAAAAATGGAAAACAAACAATAAAAGGTTCCTTAAGGCATTATTTTCTATATATATATTAATATATGCCTAAGAACATTCAAGGCAAGTGTCTGCTTGTGTTGCTTTTCACGTGTACGTTGTGAAAGTGTAATTTAAACCTTAGATTTTTCGATATAAAAGTTTTTACAAAGTGGACATATTAACAAATAAATACAATAGTATTAATATTTAAAAAAAAAACACCTTTCTTACACTATTTGCTATTTTAGTAGTCATTTCTAAGTAACCTAAAGTACGTAACTATTAACTTTATGATAACAGTTAGTAGTAATAATAAAATATGCTGTTACAAGTGTAGTAATTCTAACCCTCCAAGATATCAAATAAATATTTGACCTGCTTTAGTTATGTGTTTTATTGTTGGAAGTTATAATTACAGTTTATGAATTGTTATTATTGTTATTGTAATCAAATGTACAAAGTTTACATAGTTTTTGTTTGTGTTTAAGCTCTAATATTATTAAAGTTACTAGCAGAAATATCCACCCTCCTGTCAGGTATAACTGCTGGCTCCTGCGAAAGGCTATTCTGGAATTGTCTGATAGTTCTACAACAATGTACTCATACTCAATAATGTTCACCATTCATGAGAAAAAGAATCTTATCATCACAGAGTAGATTTTATTAAAGTATTTCTTTATAGATGCAGTTATCAAAAATATGTGTTAATTAATTACTTTCATGTCGTTAATAGAAATAATCGTTTTACTTTGGCTAAAATAATCATTACAGTTGTAAGTAATTATATTTACAAATGGATGAAATTAAATGAACTAAAGATATTTTTACTTAACAGAAATTATTCGGGTCTCAGAGATGTCACTTTTTTTTACGTTAAAAACATGTTTGACCAAAAATTAATAAGACCAAACCTATATTACCTTTTATTTTAATCTATTACCCGAATGATATACTAGGTAATTAATAGAGAAAATATAATAGAAAGTTGTGTTTAATCCAAAAATTAGAAAATCGGTAAATCTTACAATGGAGCTTGCAATGTATACGTCCAAAACTTGGATCTCGGAAACTACCGCACCGATCATCACCATTCATAACTGGGTAATATTTTTATAACTAGGCAGTATTTGTATAGCTGAGCAAGAAATAAAACAATTGAAATTTACATAAAAATGATGTTTCAGATTTAACCAATAAAAATTACAAACAAAAAGGAGTAAGTTTCAGATTTAACCAATAAAAATTACAAAAATGAGTAACTTTCAAATATAAAACAATCAAAAACGAACGCACAACTCACCTATGGAAGCGAGCACTGCCCAATGATTAGCGTGTTGCACTATGAAGCTGGAGTTCCGTGGTTTGTGTCCTGTTACCGCCAAAACAATTCACAAATCCCTCCCTCACTTTGAAACCATGGATGAGTTATAAAACTGACGGTCAAATCCCACCGTTCTATCTGACAAGAGAAACCTAAGAGCTGACGATGAGTGATGTTGACTAGCTAAATTCCTTCAAGTCTATCATTTCAAAATTAGGTAAGGGTATGCGCAAATAACACTTGTGTAACTATGCGCGAAATTCAACAAACACGCACACACTTATCTAAACTGATATTATATTTTGTGGCTCTGTTGCATGCCACTTAAACAAGATTCTTTCTTGTACACCATGAAAATATTCAAATAAAGAGGAAGAAAAATAGTTAAATGTCACTTGGCTACATAGTTTTACATAAACTCTATTAAACTCTAAGGAATATCAGATTCTTTATTTTGTGAAATTTGCCTTGCTTTTGTATTTGCATTTCATTACCACAAAATAAAAAATATCATTAGGTAAGAATCTAGTTTACCTAAGAAAGATAGAAAGTGTGTGCGTTATCTAGTTTACGGCGAAACCCTCGGAGTAATAGATGAAATATTTGTGTCATGACAAAATATTGTTTAGAAAAATCACAGCTTAAAC